CCTCCTCCTGAGGCCAGCCGGGCTCTCTTTGGCTTGCGTGGTAGCAGGGGTGGTGCACGGGCCTACAAGCTCCCGAGATCCTGGCCCAGCCACTGCGCAGCTGGGAGAGTGGGGCCATGTGAGGCTCTGGAGCAGCCGCTGCTTAGGCAGAACACTAGATTCACCTCAGAAATGCCACTGTTGGACCAGCAGTTGGGGTAATGGCTACGTCACTGGACTCCCAAGTAGTTGACTGTGGTTCAAGTCCCAGACCTGGTGGCTTGAACTCATGCCGGGTGTGTGTGCCCCAGATTCTAAGAGGAGAATGGAGAAGAAGGGATTGCAGAGTGGCCATCCCACCAGGGGTGATTTCTCACTTTCTATCTCTCTGTCTCTCTCTGTCTTTCTGGCGAGCGCACGCGCCCTATAGTGAAAACCTCTAAAAAAAAAAAAAAGAAAGAAAGAAAGAAAGGCCACTGTCTTGTGTCGAAATGGAACACTCTAAGGTCCCTTCCAGAAAAAGCCAAAGGGGGCTTCGGGGAGAATAGGCAGCTGCCCATCGCCAGCAACCACCAGGCCTTTGCTCCTGGGCAGCAGCTCCCTGCAGCCTCGTGGGAGCTGACAGTGGAAGACACAGGTGCACCTCAGGCCGTGCCCAAATGGTCCCTGCAAGCCTCCGGCCCCTGCCTGAGGCCCTGACCGTCCACCCAACCTTTGTGAGGAGAGCAGGCCCAGGTCACTAGGCAACCGGCAGCCACTACCCCAACTCCACCCACTGTGCACCTGCCGGGCAGAGACCGCAGCTCGCCCTGGGGTCCAAGCCAGGTGTGAGGCAAGTCCTGGAAGGACAGCAGACCTGGAACGGCCGCGTGCATGCCTCCACTGCCTGGCCCCTCCCGAGAGTGCAGGCCCCGTGCCTGGAACAGTGAGTGTCAGGCTGGCACCGGCCCTCACCTCGGCCCGGGCAGGGAGGCAGGGAGGCAGGGAGGCAGGCCAGCGCCCCGGCCTGGGACCTGCATGTCAGTGTGCCTGTCTACCCAGAAATCGGGCCTCGCATGTACTCTGTGTAGGTGTGGGTGACCCAAGAGTGTAGGAGACACACGCTGGTGAGAAGTTACCACGGGCAAGAGCCCCCAGTGAGAGGAACCAGCTGAACCCAGCCAGGCACTCGGGGCGGCCTGCTCGGGCAGGTGACCACCGGCATACTACAGCCCGGGCGTGATGGGGGAGGAAGTGCCGCGGGCCGAGGAGGACAGACTCCCACAGCGGTCAAGGAGGGGCTGGTGCTCCAGCTGGCTCTGGACCAGCGGCACTGGAGGGCCACCGAAGGGGGACACGAAGCCTGTGCACGGCCACCTGGGCTTGGAGGCCACATGGCAGGGAGGGGTGACCGTGACAGGGGATCAGACACCATGGGTGAGGATCGTGTAGACGGCAGAATCCACCCTTCTGCCTTAGGCTTTTTCAGGCCCTGGGCGCCCACAGCGCCCGCACTTCAGGCCAGTCCAGGCCGACCAGAGGGCACGGGTGCCGGTCGGCAGTCGCAGGGACAAGGTGTGCATGGAGTGGTTTTCGCTCTAAGGACCTCACAACTTCAAGTTTTTAAAACAGAAGTCTCTGGACAGGAAATTGGGCCTGGTCTCTGAAACTGTTAACAAAATCATCCATGTGGGTTTAAAGCAGTACGAATGTTTATTCAAAGCAGCATTCACGCCGGAACCCTAAACGTTGGCCATCTTGGAATGGGGCAAATCGTTCAGTCTACACCCTTGCTGGGAGGACCGTGGCTCTGCAGGGATTCGAACCCACAGCCACACGCTGAGCTTCGGGATGCGACCAGGCACACAGTGTCCGATTCAGGCCGGATGCTCGAGGGAGAACTGTTCTTCGCTGCCCGGGAAAGACGACTTGGCGTAAAGAACACGTCTGCTGGGGCGTGCGGGAGGCCCGGACGCTTTCACTTGCCCTTGTTCCGCGGTGATGTGCCGTGCCCACTTGTGACTCAGCATTTACTAGTGCTTGGCATTTTCCTTGCAGATGAAGACTGCGACCCTAGCAATGCCCAGGGATGTCATGTCAAGGCAACTGAGGTCACGTGCACCGAGAGGACACGCACCTGCTTGTCCGCTCCCAAAGCCGTGACACGACAGCGCTCTGTCTCCAGCACCCGGGGTTTGCACCGCCTGTGCTGGGGCTGTGTCCCGGCAGGCTGTCCCCCTCATGTTAGAAACAGAGCAGAGAGGTCTCTGTTCCCTGGGCCTTCTGTCCCTCTCGTCCTCCCTGGGCATTGGTTTGGGCCAGAGTTGCTCAGAGTTTGCTTTTGGCCGTTTCTAAGTGGGGGTCTGCTCTCCAGCTCTCAGGGTGCCCAGACAGGGCTCCATGACGAGTCAGGCCTCGTTGATGAATTAGCTATTTCCACTGTCTGCAGGTCAAAGGCCAGCTTGCTTTCTGCGACCCCACACGCCAGGCCTGCTCACCAGGCGCCTCCCACGAGCCACGCCTGGGTCTCCCACACAGAAAGCCCTTGGAAATCCGAGTGGAGCTCTTGAAGGACTGAGAGTGGGAGTGTGTGCTTGCTTTTCTTGCACTGACCTTGGTAGTCTCACGTTGGTAGTGAAATCACGCCTGGACCCGCTGCAGGGCCAGCGGAGACGCAGCAGCGCGCCTTCCCAGCGGGCTGAGGACCGCAGTTGCCATGGACTGTTTCCCAGAGAGAACGTTCGAGGACCTCTTCAGAACACAGTTTGTGGGTGTTGCATGCAGGGTCAGGTCTGGGAACGGGTCTCTGCTTCTGCCCTGGCTAAGCGGCGTACACTGCTGAATAATGAACAATTTCCGGTTATGCTGTCAAGATGCATTTGCATATGACATTTGCATCTTATTATATATTCCTTTGCCTTTCAACCTGAGTTCCGTGAATCCAGTTCAATCTTCTGTGGGTATTTTAAATGATTGACATTAAGCATGAGTTGATGTGGACTGCGCCCTGTGGGTCCAGCCAGGACCCTGCCCTCCGTAAGCGCCCTGGATTGCCGTGGCCTGTAAGCAGCCGTGTCCTTCCTGTAGTCGCTGCATCAGTAGCTACTTTTGTCTGGTTTGAGCTTCATCTCACCAAGTGTCCAGATCAAGAACTTAAAGTAACAGCCTAGGGCCACTCTCGCAAACCAACAGGTTTTAGAAAGTCTGATTTGGGGAAATAGAAGTTTCTGTTTTTATTCTTTTTTCTTTTTAAATTGCTAGAGGGCACACTCGCTTGCCAGAGAGAGACAGAGAACAAGGGAAAGGGAGAGACACGGTCACACGGCGTCTCGATGGTGGGGCGAACGCACACGGGTGCCAGCGTGTTTGTTCATTTGCTATGGAGGGTGTGCTCGCCAGAGAGACAGAGAGACAGAGAGACAGAGAGCGCCTGCAGGGTGGCCCCGCCACAGCTCTCCGTTCTCTTGGGATTTGGGCACGTGCACGTACCTGGGGAGCTTTTTAAGCCGCCAGCTCTGAGACTTGAACCACGCTCTCAGCTTGGGATCCGGCCACCCTTACCACTGTGCCACCAGCTGGCCCGATGGCAGCTTGTTTCTATGAGTCACTGGAGCCAGGACCGAAGTGCAGTTTGCTATGTAGGATCCAGACCCCCTGACCATTAGGCAACACGGCTAGCCCCGGGAATAGAATTTTCCACTGAATTTTGGGTTTAAGGCCAAAGGGTTGAGTTGTGAGTGTCTTGGCTTCTGACCTAGATAAGGGTACATCAGGGACCAGCAGTTAGTGTAATGTCTATGTATCTGGACTCCCATGTAGTTGACTGCAGTTTGAGTCCCAGACCCGGTGGCTTAAACTCACGCCGGGCGCGTGTGCGTGAGTGCCCAAGATCCCAAGAGGAGAGTGGAGGAGAAGGGATTGCGGCGTGACCGTCCCCCCTGGGGGTGATTTCTCGCTTTCTGTCTCTGTCTTTCTGGTGAACACATGCACTCTAGAGCAAAAACCTCTTCAAAAAAAAATAGATAAGGGTACATCATAAAGAAGTAGGGGATTTTAGACAGAAACGAGAAACAATTGAAATCTCGTATGTATCATTTGTATTCAGAATTCTTTGTCAACAGTTAAAATGATAAAAAAGAAATCACAAAACATTTGATCCCAGTTATTTACAGAAGAAAGCGTAGACGCCACACCCTCCGTGTCGCAGATGGCTGGTCCACCCCTGTAGGTGTGGGGCGCCCACCCTGGAACATGGGTTATAAAGACAGCCCTGACCTCGGACTGCAGTGGGCGAGGTCCCAGCACCCCAGGATCTGAGAAGCCATGGGGAGATTTGCGATGGAGACCCCTGGCTCCCGGCAGCTGTGTGCGGCCCTCACCTTTCCAGCAGGCTTCTGTGTGCACGTCAGGCTCAGCCACCACCTCGCGCCCAGCACCTGCGGGGCCGCACCTGCCACCTCGGCTGGACAGTTCTGCAGCCTGGCCGTGGGGAGGAGAGCTGGTTTGTGCCCTCGGAGAGGCAGAGGCCAGCTTTGAGCCGTCGGAGGTGGGGCAGCCACTCCTCCAGTGGGGGATGCTGCCTTCCCCTCCCGAGAGTAGCACGGCTCGGGTCAGGACTGGGTGGCGAGGCCCCTCACCCAGCTGTGGCCACGGAGTCTTCGCCATGGGAGCAGGACCACCTGCCGGGAGGTCTGGACCAGGTGTGCCCGTGTCCTCTCGCTGGACTGCCCTCCTGGCAGGCAGAGTCCAGCTTCTGTGGACATTTGTGGTCACTCACGAGCCTCCCAGGTCTGAGCTGGGTGGGCAGGGAGTCCTGGCGTCCTGGGGGAGGACGGGGAGGGGAGACATTGCCGCTCACGGCCTGGAGCAGGAGTTCATTCAGCTACCCACTTAATGCTTAAGTGACGCTGAATGTATGTGGAGTAGCACCTGGTCGATGTTCTGTGAAGCTACCCACTTAATGCTTAAGTGACGCTGAATGTATGTGGGGTGGCACATGATCGATGTTCTATGAAGCTAGCACACGGCACCCTCACATGGACTCTACTGCTGACATATACCTCGAGACCCCACCTGAGAAGCATGCTGTTCCGTGACGTCTGGAGAGGAGACCGACATGTCAGTACCTCCTGGGAACATGATGCTCCAGGGCCCCGAGACATCGCAAGTCCCAGGTGGCCATGCCTACGTGCACCATGAGGCTAGCACTGCCCTTACAGTGGACCACAGGGTGACCTGCCCTGGACTTGTCATAGTCAGACTGCGGCTGTCAGCACCTTCAGGTCCAGAAGAGGCAGGAGAAAAGGCGCCGGATGGCCGCACCGCAGCGTGGTGGAGACACAGGGCTGAGGCCGTCCCGATGCCCTGCAAGGCTGGCCCGGGGGGAGGTCCCGGTTTGCGTTCTGTGAGCTCCCTGAGCAGCCAGGCTCAGGCGTGTCACTGCAGGGCACACTTGCCCTGCCACGGGGAGCCCCAGCTGACTCCCTGGGGCTGTGGTGAGAAGGAACCGAGGGGCCACCTCTCTGTGTGTCCACTCAGCCATGGCTGACTGACCACACAGCTGCAGAGCCCGGGGTGGCCGGCCCCTGACCAGCTGCCAAGCCCAGGGCAGAACGGGCCGTCACCGGGACATACTGATCCAAGCGCCCACAAGCTCGCCCTCAGGGCTGGGACTGGGGGAGGCTGCAGGTTCTGGCCATATCAGCTTGGCCTTCCTGACTCGGCACCTCCCACGACCTGGCTGAGACGGCTCTGACTGGGCACCACAGATCTCTGATCGGAATTTGGGAAGTGTGACAACTTTCATGGAGACAGAGAAGACGCATCTTTGCCCAGTGTCCATAACTGACTCTGGAATTCTCTCCATAAACACGCACACCGCTCCCAACGCACACTCCCACGGCGCACGCGCTCTGACAGCTTGGCGACACCTGTGCAGTCAGAGACGCCCCTGTAGCCCCAGACCGCCATTTAGGTGGCCCAGCTGGACTCTGCAGCTCCGGTCCTCGCCCACAGGAACCCCGAGACGCGCACGCTCTGCCATGCTGCTCTGTCCACAGCCCCTCTGGAACTGCGTCCCAGCCCGCTGCCCTCACCGGGACCTCAGTGGTGGCCATCCTTAGCAGCCAGGGGCAGACTTGGCATCGCGGCAACTCGGTAGGGTGTGGCCCTCCCGCCCTCCCTCCAGGAGACTCCTCCTGGCTACGGAGCTGGAGAAGGTGGTCGTCCCTCTCTCTGCCTCCCTCCTCCTCCCTTCCCTCGGGAGAACCTCGGGGAAACTGTGGCACCTGCCATGGTCGACCAGGCGCTCCCGCCCCACCCAGGGGCGGCGGCACCCCCTGTGTCTCTGCTTTTTTCAATGATTCTCGCCCTACCGAGTGCCGAGGTCACCCTGTGGGCCACTGTAAGGGCAGTGCTAGCCTCACGGCGCACGTGGGCATGGCCGCCTGGGACTTGCGATGTCTTGGGGCCCTGGAGCACCACGTTCCCAGGAGGTACCGACACGTCGGCCTCCTCTCCAGACGTCACGGAACAGCACGCTTCTCAGGTGGAGTCTAGAGGCTGGTCCTGGTCTCCTCCCTGACGTTCCAAAGAATGTTCCAAGTCTGTGTTCTCTGCTCATCTTTCAAGACGTGAGGCATAGACTTCCCGTGATGCTCTGTGCAAAACACTTACAGTTGTTTGTTGTATTCACGAGAGAGAGCACACACGACAGGGACAGAGGCACCCAGGTGCCCTCGGTGGGCCCTCTCACGCTGCGCCTCCTCCCTTCTGTCCCCAAGGCCATTGGGTGTGGGCACGCCTGTGTGCCCAGCGACTCCGCCAAGCCCTCTGTGTGGCTCCAGCACCTCAGCACATGTGCGAGCACCTGGGCCGCTGAGGCTGAGTCCTGGTGAAGTTTTTTTGTTTTTGTTTTTGTTTTTTAAGAGATTTTTGCTTTAGGGCACGTATACTTCCCAGAGAGACAGAGAGAGGGAAAGTGAAAAATTATCCCCAGGAGAGACGGCCATGCCGCAATCCCTCTCCACTCACCTTGGATCTCGGGCACGCACACACAAGTGCCCAGCGTGATTTTTCAAGACACCAGGTCTGACACTTGAACTGCGGCTGGTCTTGTGGGAGTCCAGCGATGTAATGGCTACACCATCTGCTGACTCCCCCAGTGGAGTTTTTTAAACGCAAGTTTTCTTCTCAACATTTTCCTCACAAAGTACCACTTACGGGGCTGGAGGCAGGCCGCAGTGAGCCCTGTGCACGGAGGGCCAGATCCCGCCTGGCAGCCTACAGTTCAGATCTGGCCTAGAGCCTGGTGCATGTGCGTGCAACCCCCGCCCCCAATCCCAAGATGCAGGGGAGGGGGAAGGCTTGCAGCGTGGTCACACCCTTTGGGGTAGTTTCTCAGGCTCTCTGCTCCCGCCCCCTAGGTACGTGGGCTCTCTGACAGTAAAAAAGAAAGGAGCAAATGGCCACATACCCGAACGACAGGGCCTCTGCCCCGGGAGACCTGCAGTGGACCAGGTGTGGTCAGGAGGGCACGCCATCTCCAGGTCTGGCCTGAGCTCCCTGAACTTCTCTGGCCCATACGACTTTGCGAATCACAACATAGTCAGTTCAAGCTTCTTTGAACACACTCAAACTCATTTAACTGCAAAACATTCGACATTCATTTTTTGCTTTTCATAAGGCTCATTTTTTAAAAGAATTATTTTATTATGACTATTTAATTTGCTCCAGGGCATGTACACTCACCAGAAAGAGACAGAGAAAGAAAGAGAGAGCGGGGAAGTGAGAAAGCAAGCTGCCAGGCCTGGTTTCTGAACTGCAGTCGGCCTGGTGGGACTCCAGCGCCTCAACCATCATGCCACCTGCTGGTCCCATCAGGCTCATCCTTAAGGCCACCAGTTTTCACCGCACAGGCAAGAAGGCAATCTGCCAGTAAACTCTGCAGCACAGAGAGCGGGGCTTCTTCCTGCAGCAGAGGGGGCCTGTGGGTCAGGGCAGGAAGGTGCCCAGGGGCGGTAGTGTGTGGGGTGCAGACCGGCGGCTCCATTTCCACGCACAGTCTGTTATCTGAGCGCTACTGGCCGGGACCTGGGACCCCTCCAACCCTTTCCTGATTGCTTTCAGAGACGAAGACCTTACTGATGGCAGAGGATGAGCCTCCAGGCACCGTCCCCAAGCCGCTGGTGTTCCGCGCAGACGAGACCACGCCGGAGGTGGTGCGCAGCGTGCTGCTGGAGCGGGGCTGGGAGGCGTTCGGCGAGCACGCGCGGGGCGTGGATGACTGGGACCTGTACTGGAGGGCGTCCTCTTTCCGAATGGCCCAGCACGTCAACGTGAAGCCATGGCAGTGGCTGAACCACCACCCGGGGACGGCCACGCTCACCAGGAAGGACCGCCTGGCCAGACAGCTGCAGCACATGGGCAGGACCTACGGCTCTGCCCTCTACGCCTTCGCGCCGCCCACCTTCGTCCTGCCCTGCGACTACACCAAGTTCCTGGCCACCTACTTCAGCGAGGAGCAGGTGCTGGGCGCCAGGCGCGGCTACTGGATCTGCAAGCCCTCCGAGTCATCTCGCGGGAGGGGCATCAGCATTTTTAGTGACATTAAGGACTTGATCTTTGGCGACACGTACGTAGTGCAGAGATACATCTGCAACCCTCTGCTCGTGGGCAGGTACAAGTGTGACCTCCGCGTCTACGTCTGCGTCACCGGCTTCAAGCCGCTGACCATCTACGTGTACCAGGAGGGCTTGGCGCGCTTCGCCACCGAGAAGTTCGACCTGAGCGACCCGCAGAACTGCTACGCCCACCTGACCAACTGCAGCGTCAACAAGGCCGGCACGTCCTACCAGGAGGTCAAGGAGGTGGTGGGCCGCGGCTGCAAGTGGACCCTCGGCAGGTTCTTCTCCTACCTCCGCAGCTGGGACGTGGACGACCTGCTTCTGTGGCAGAAGATCAACCGCCTGGTTATTCTCACGGTCCTCGCCATCGCCTCAGCCGTCCCCTTTGCCGCCAACTGCTTTGAGCTCTTCGGGTTTGACATTCTGATCGACGACAACTTGAAGCCCTGGCTGTTAGAAGTCAACTACAGCCCCGCCCTGTCCCTGGATTGTCCGGTGGACGTGGTGGTGAAGAGGAGACTTGTCCACGACATCATCGACTTGGTTTATCTGACGGGTCTAAGAAACGAGAGGACGCCGGTCAGCAAAGCTGCAAATGGGCGCTCCAGTGGCCCCTTCACGAGGGGTGACAGAGGCAGGCGCGGCGGGGCAGGCCGTTCCCTTCCGTGCAAGTCTCTCTTACAATTCCCGGGTAAAACGTGCGGTGAGCAGGACTCCGCTGCAGAGGAGGGTGTGCGGGCGTGCCCTAAGGCCACACCTTCCTGCCAGCCCAGAGCAAGAGCCAGGCAGGAGGGCTCACTCCTGCCAGCAGGGGAGTCAGCCAGAGTCAAACCCGGGCTGCGCAGCCGGCTCCCCGCCCGCTCCCGCTCGGCGCTGGGCCCCTGCGTCTCGCTCGTTGGCTCGTGGACCTGCCCAGCGGAGGTTTCCCCGTGTGACCCAGCACACAGCACCAAGACCACGGCTCCGCATCCCGGGACAGGCAATTTTGTTCTCATTTTCCCTTTCAACGAAGCTACTTTAGGAGCATCTAAGGATGAATTAAATGTCAAAAGAATAACCCAAGAGCTCCAGAAACTGATGAATAAGCAACGTTCCCAAGCCACGGGAAATAAAACCCAGAGAAGGTGGCCTGGAGCGTGGGATACGAGGACTGACAGCCCACTGAGAGCAAGTTCTGGAGCCAGCCTGTGCCCCAGCCTCCGAGCTGCACCAGGGGCTCCGGCGTGTCCGCGTGCAGAAATACAGTTCCCACCAGGAGCACCTGCTCGGAGCTGATGAACTCGTGTGCCGCCACGTGCTCATTGCTCAGGCCCGGGACGCTCGCCCAGCCCCTGCCCCGCACGCAGTCCGACCCGCTGTACTCCCAGCATGCTCGGCATTTACTCACACATGAGAGACCCCAACCGCGTAAGGATTCTTAGGTGAGGACAGAACCAAAAAGGCCCAGGCATTGACTGTGGGTTTTTAATCAACCGTTTTTCAGTCAGATTGACTTTGCCATGTGATGATCATTCAGAGTGAGCTGAATTACTGGAAACCCAGATGACGGTCGCTTTTAAAACCTGGGCCCTATTCAGACCCTCACCCGGGACAGACCCTCACCCGGGGACAGACCCTCACCTGGGGACAGACCCTCACCCGGGGACAGACCCTCACCCGGGACAGACCCTCACCTGGGACAGACCTTCACCTGGGAGAGACCCTCACCTGGGGATAGACCCCGGGTCAGGCCCCCCCCGAGGACAGACCCTCACCCAGGGACAGACCCTCACCCGGGAACAGACCCTCACCCGGGGACAGACCCTCACCCGGGACAGACCCTCACCCGGGGACAGACCCTCACCCGGGGATAGACCCTCACCCGGGGACAGACCCTCACCATGGATACGCCCTCACCTGGGACAGACCCTCACCTGGGACAGACCCTCACCCGGGGATAGACCCTCACCCAGGACAGACCCTCACCCGGGGACAGACCCTCAGCTGGGACAGACCCTCACCCGGGTCAGATCCCCACCCAGGACAGACCCTCACCCGGGGATAGACCCTCACTCGGGAATAGACCCTCACCCGGGACAGACCTTCACCCAGGGATGGATAGACCCTCACCCGGGGACAGACCCTCATCTGGGGACAGACCCTCACCTGGGATAGACCCTCACCCAGGGATAGACCCTCACCCAGGGACAGACCCTCACCCTGGGGCAGACCCTCACCTGGGGAGAGACCCTCACCCGGGGACAGACCCTCCCCTGGGGAGAGACCCTCACCCAGGGACAGACCCTCACCTAGGGCAGACCCTCACCCAGGGATGGATAGACCCTCACTCACGGAGTAGACTCTCACCCTGAGGGCCGACCCTTCCCAGGGGCAGACCCAGGAGGCCAACCTGCACCCAAGGGGCTGACCTAGCCCTTCCTTCGTGGGCACGGCTACAGCCCCGTTTGGTGCTGAGCCTGCAGGAGATCCCCAGGACTCGCACACACCAGTTACCTCAGTGGGCAGACTTTGCCAGCAGAGGTGCTGACAGGGAACCCCCTAAATGGCCTTATGACTCCGCTCTAGGCCCCTGCACTGCGGCCCAGGTCCCTCCTGCTCGGCAGCCCTGCAGGGAGGTTCCCGTCTGTGCCCTGACTGGTGTGTAGGTCTCTACCCCACAGCAGGTGCTGCAGGGGCCCCATCCTGGCTCCAGGCCCTCTCTGCGGTGTTCCAGGAAACATTCAGCCCACATAGGGCCCTGCTGGGAGTCTCGCCTGCTGGTGCCACCAGGTCACGCTTGGTCCCGCAGCAGAGCAAAGCAGCCCTGGAGTGCGGTTCCAGTCCTTCCTGCCCATCCAGGCCCTGACACACCCTCTGAGTGCCCAGGGCAGGGTTGCCGTCCTCTGCCTGCAGCAGACCTTCATGCGGCCCTGGGCTCAGTCCTGCCCCTCTCATTTGCAGACCGAGAGCTACTCTGCCTGCCCAGGGGCCTGGAGAAGCATGCCCAGCAGTCTCCTGCAGGCTGACTTGCTGAACTCGGTCCACAGTGGGCCTTGCACTGGCCCTGCATGGGCTCCAGGCCTTCGTGGCTGTGGTCTGAGTGTAGGACTGTCCACCCACGTACTTGCTGGAGGATATGTTTGCCCACGACCCCTGCAGTGACCTCTCATTCCAGTGCCAGCCCCATGCCCAAGGTCCTGGAGACAGTCCCGTCCACCCAGGGACCAGCTAGGACTATGCCTACTGTGGTCTCTGTGGCAGACCCAACAGCAACCACATGGCCAGAGCCGACCCCAGTAACTGCAAGCCCAGAGTTAATTCATCCCCTCAGCCCAGAGACCTAATACCAGAAGACCTTAACTTACCAAAACTAGTCCGTAAATCCCGTTTACTCCTTCAGATGTACAGAGACAAACGCAAGGCTACATGGGTGACCAACGGGCAGGCAGAAATGGCGGTGTCGAAGGGAACTACTAAGTGTGTCAGGACCTTCTTGAAGTTCACGGACAATGTATATTATGAAGAAACTATGTGTGCATTTCAAAAAAATTGCATCAGAATAATTCTACTTTAATTTTATGTTTCTAAGAGCTATTTGAAGTCACCTCCATATAAACCACTTCAAGGAAACTGAAATATATTAATTGCCTAAAACAGAAGTCAAACTAATCATCTTAAAGAAGCTTGTTAGGATGTTTAAAAAGAATGCAAATGGACAACAGATATATAAACAAAACTGGAAATATAATCTAAAAATGCAAATAGTTAATGTACAGACAAAATTATGAATTAAATTGAAATCATTAAAAAGAATCAGGAATCCTGAGACTGAAGAATATAGTGACAGACTAAAAAACTCAATAGATGGGACCAGCAGTTGGCATAACGGCTATGTCGCTGGACTCCCATGTAATCGACTGCGGTTCAAGTCCCAGACCCGGTGGCTTAAACACACGCCAGGTATGTGTGCATGCGTACCTAAGACCCCAAGAGGAGAATGGAGGAGAAGGGATTGCGGCGTGGCCATCCCCCCGGGGGGGTGATCTCTCACTCTGCCTTTCTGGCAAGCACATGCACCCTATAGCAAAAACCTCTGAAACAAACAAACAAGCAAACAAAACTCAATAGAGTGTTTTGACAGCAGGCTAAATCATGCAAAAGAATGAGCAAACTCAAAGATAGGTCATTGGAAATGATTCAGTTAGAACAAAATGAAAAAAGATTGAAAAAGTGAAGAAAAAATAAGGAGCCTATGGGACAGCATCAAACGTAACGTGCGAATTACAGCCTACCCGAGGGAGGCGGGAGAAAGGGGAGAAAGGCTATTTGCTTATTTAAAAAAATATTGTCTTGGGAACCAGCAAGTGGCATGGTGGTTTGAGTTCAGACCTGGCAGCTTAAAAATTACCCTGGGCATGTGTACATGTGTACCCAAAATCATAAGAGGAGAATGGAGGAGAAGGGACTACGGCATAGTCATCCTTCCTGGGAGGTGATTTCTTGCTTTCCTTCTCTGTCTCTCTCCAGCAAGTACCTGCTCCCTATGGCAGGAAAAAAAAAAAATATATATATATATACACACACACACACATACACATATACATACACACACACATACACACATATGTGTGTACATATATACATATATCCATACACACATATGTACGTTATATGTGTGTATAAAATATATATAATCTTTATATAAAAATATTTTTATATATAATACACATGTACATAGATATAAAATATATATATTTAAAATATTTCTATCTATATATAATACACATATACATAGATATAAAATATACATATTTAAAATATTTCTATCTATCTATCTATATAATACACATATACATAGATATAAAATCTGAAAAGCTTCCAAATCTTAGGGTGCATATGAACATCCAGATTCAAGAAGCAGAGAGCTCTCCAAGACAGATTCAGAAAAAAGCACTCTGAGACATGTTGTATTTTAACTGACAGAAGTCAAAAACAATTTTCAAATTAGCAAGGTGGAGAAACTTATCACATAAAAAGGAATACCCATAAGGCTATCAGCAAACTTTTTTTTTTTTTAGAGAGAGAGAGATTTTTGTTATAGGGCACATGTGCTCACTGGAGAGACAGAAAGTGAGAAATCACCCACCAGGGGGATGGCCATGCTGCAATCCCTTCTCTTCCATTCTCCTCTTGGAATTTTCAGCACACATGCACACACCCACACACACACCCAGTGTGAGTTTTAAGACTGGGTCCAGGACTTGAACCATGGCCAACTATGTGGGAGTCCCGTGGCTATCTGCTGGTCCCATCAGCAAATTTCTTAACAGAAATTTTGTAAACCAGCAGAGAATAGGATGAAATAGTAATATGCTAAGAAAAAAAAATACCAATCAAGAATACCATACTGGGCAAAACTGTCCTTCAAGGCACAGAAAAGACGAGGGAGCTTATCATTAGGCCTCTCTTTCAAGAAGTCGAAGTGAAACAATGCTAAGTGAGGGCATAAACACACCTGAAACTGGAGAAGTTACTGGTAGAGGTAAATCTATAGTCTAAGGCAGAATTCTCGAATACTGCAAAGTTGGTATGCAAATCAATTTAAACTACTGTGTAAAAGTTTAAACTTTTTTAAAGAATGACTTATATTTAATTCCATTCGTTATTACTAATTTTTATTTTGACCAGACAGAGAGAGAGAGAAAGGGAAAGATAGAAAGCAAGCCGCCAGGTCCAGGACTCGAACTGCAGTCACATAGGAATCTAGCGCCTTTACCCACCACACCACCTGCCAGGCCCAGAAGTTAAACATATTAAAAACAACTACAATCATCATAATTTGCCCAGAAGTTAAAAATATTAAAAACAACTACAATCATCATAATTTGTTGATGGATACATAATGTAAGTAGACGTGACGTGACAGCCACAGCACGAGATGGGGGTGGAGAAAAGTAAAAATGCCTCTGTGAGTGATCGGAGCTGTCAACGGCTTAAAGTAGGATATTAGAGCCGGAAGACAGTTCGTGTAAGCCTCACGGTACCTACAAATAAAAATATTAAAAACAACTACAATCATCATAATTTGTTGATGGATACATAATGTAAGTAGACGTGACGTGACAGCCACAGCACGAGATGGGGGTGGAGAAAAGTAAAAATGCCTCTGTGAGTGATCGGAGCTGTCAACGGCTTAAAGTAGGATATTAGAGCCGGAAGACAGTTCGTGTAAGCCTCACGGTACCTACAAAACACAGCAAACCTTTACTAGCTGCGTAAAAGATAGAGCCTCAACGTGTACCACCGCACAACTACAACAGAGACGAAGGAGACGGCGGGGTTCAAAGGAAGAAGCACGGGAATTACAAGAGTAAATAATCAGCAAGAGGGCAAGAGCAAATCTTTTCCTATCAGTAATTACTTTAAGCATAAGTGGATTAAGTTCCCCAATGAAAAGCTATAGGGTAATGAAGTGGAAAAACCTGTGCTGCCTATGGTAGGCGGGTTCTAGCCTTAAACACGCACTTAGACTGAGAGTGAAGGGGCCGAAAAAGATATTCCTGACCAGTGGCAACCCAAAGAGGGCAGATGAAATACTTAGTCAAAAATTTATATCAGAAAAAACACCAAGTCAAAAACTGTACGGAGAGACGAAGAAGAAGGCCCTGTAACAATGAAGGGACCAAGCCCTTAAAGACACAGGTATGAAAATGCATCCAGCCTGGGAATGCCGCAACACTGGGCTGTCGGAAAAGTTGTGACATATTTTTGACTAGAAAACATGGAAAAATACATCGTGACTTTTCTGATGACCCAATATATAAAACGAATATTCACAGATCTGAAGGGCAGGCTGCAGTACCGCCATGGTGGTGCGCTCCATACCCCACTTTCAGCAATGCACGGATCGCTCAGGCAGGAGGTCGCTTCAGAAACACTGAATGCAAGCTTGCGTTGGACCCCCTGGCCCGAGCGGACACAGACCGAGCATCCCATTCAGAACGGCAGGATTCAATTCCTCTCAAGCACACAGATCATTTTCCAGGACAGGGCAAATGTCGGGCTACAAAAGAAATCGTTGGGACCAGCAGTTGGCGTAATGGCTATGTCACTGGACTTCCATGTAGTCGACCGCGGTTTGAGTCCCGGACCTGGTGGCTTAAACTCGCACCAGGCTCGTGTGCGTGCGTGCCCAAGATCCCGAAAGGAGAATGGAGGAGAAGGGATGGCAGTGTGGCCATACCCCCCCGGGGGGGGGGGATGATTTCTCGCTTTCTGTCTCTCTGTCTCCCTCTGTCTTTCTGGCAAACGCATGTGCCCTGTAGTGAAAACCTCTCAAAAAAAAAAAAAAAAAAGAACATTGAACTCCGTCAAGTTTATTTTATGATCTTAATGAAATGAAGCTACAGATCAATAAGAAGAATTTTGGAAAAGTTACAAATATGTGGAAATTTTAAAAATACTCCTAAACAACCGGTAGGTCAAAGTAGACGCTAAAAGGTAAATTAAAAATTTCTCAGACAAATGCACAAGGAAACACAATGTACCAAAACTTATGGGGTGCAGAAAGAAGTTTAAAAAGAAAAGTTTATAAGAATAAATAACTATATAAGAAATAAGAAAGAGCTTGAATAAATAATATCACAACTCAAGGGGACGGGGGTATACACTCACTCACTCACTTAGCAATGAACTCACTTAGCGATGCACTCATTCACTTAGCGATGCACTCATTCACTCACTCACTTAGCAATGAACTCACTCACTTAGCAATGCACTCATTTACTTAGCAATGCACTCACTCACTTAGTGATGCACTCACTCACTTAGCGATGCACTCACTCAGTGATACACTCACTCACTTAGCGATGCACTCACTCAGTGATACACTCACTCACTTAGCGATGCACTCACTTAGTGATACACTCACTCACTTAGCGATGCACTCACTCACTCAGCGATGCACTCACTCAGTGATGCACTCACTCACTTAGCGATGCACTCACTCACTTAGCGATGCACTCACTTAGCGATGCACTCACTCACTCAGTGATGCACTCACTCACTCAGCGATGCACTCACGCACACACTTAGTGACACGCTCACTCATGCTCTTAGCAATGCACCATGCAGCACAGTCTCGGGCTGTGCTTCCTACTTCACACGTCCGGGGCCCACGCCCTGCCAGCCGACCCGGCCCAGAGCCCCTGCACCCACAGTGCCATGTGACTGTGCCATGTCTGGCAAGCTCCTGGCTGCTGCCGATGCCGTTGCCCAGTGGGAGAGCGAGAGGAAGAACCAGGAGTGAGGTCGAAAGGACAAATGACTTCTCAAGGAACCCGGAAGACAGAAGCTCGGCAGACACAGACCACAGCCGGCCGGTCATAGCTCTCTGAGAATCACGTTTTCAATCCAAACATTTTCAAAATAGAATTCCAGAGCAATGACATCTGTTTTATACTACATGTGGTAAAATTCATCCCATTTTAAATAAAACCATTTTTTTTTTACAAGCCAGAGGACAGGGAGAAAGGGAGAAGAAAACCTCCCATCCCCCAGGACATGGTCACATCTCAGTCCCTTTCCCTCCATTTCTCCATCCTGTCGCCTCCCGTCCCCCAGGGCATGGTCACGTCTCGGTCCCTTTCCCTCCATTTCTCTATCCTGTCAGAACTTCGGCACTCATGCACACCTGCCAGGGCCAGGATTCGAACTATGCCATAGGCCCTGTGGGATCCGGCTCCCTTAACCACTAGGCCAAGGGCCCAGCCCGACAGTGTTTTCCGACAGTGTATGCCTCAGTGTCTGACCTGTCTGAGGCTACACAGGGTAGTTGTCTAATCCCACAGTGGGGACCCGCTTGGACTTCGCTCTAGCTTCCTCACCTTGGAACAAGGAAACGGGACGGGAGACGAAGCCTATAAACGCCTTGCTCAGCCGCCACGCAGGTCCCCACATGCCCAGCCCCGTTCTCCTTGGCGTTCTGTTCCTTGGTGCATCGGTTTTAATTCTGAGCCTCTGACCACATTTCTTTTTTTTTTAAGTTTTTGACACAGGGCACGTGTGCTCACTGGAGAGAGACAGGGAGAGGACAAGTGAGAAATCCCCCCGGGCGATGGTCATGCCAGTCCGTTCTCCACCTTCCCCCGGGATCTCGGGAGCACAGCCACAGTGCCCAGGGAGTCTTCGCCGCTGGGATTTGTCCTTCCCAGGCATCTGCTCAGGACTGGCCCCGCTAACCCTAGGACCGCATTTTAACTATTTAAGGAATCTCATGTAACGAGAGTCAGTCTTTAAGTGTTCAAGGACAGATTGTTGAAGGCAGGCTTAATGAACTGAGCACTAAACAAAGCCCCGCGTGTTCACGGCTCCCCTGACTTTAAGGAGCCACCGATCAGGGTTTAAGACAAGTGTCCGTTTATGCCAGACCCCCAAGCACTGTGCTGGTGCAGGGTTGGGTTGCAGGGATGGTCAGGTCCCCGGCCCTGGATTCGGTGTGGGGGCGCCGAGAGGGCATTGCCCTGAGGAGTGGCCACACAGACTCCAAAGGACGAAAGGAGAGACTTGGAGGAGGACAGGGTAGGGCTAGGGGACCTGCTGCATGTGTGGGCATCAGCGTGGCCGAGGGTGGATTCAGGCAGGCGGGGCCGGTGGCCCAGGCACGTGGATGCAGAGTGCAGAAGGACCTGCTTTCTTTCTTTCTTTCTTTCTTTCTTTTTTTTTTTTTTTAAAGAGAGATCGTTGCTATAGGGCACGTGCACTTGGCGGAGAGACAAGGATGGAAAGTGAGAAATCACCCCCAGGGGGATGGCCACGCTGCAATCCCTTCTCCTCTATTCTCCTCTGGGGCTCCTGTGCACGCACGCACACGTGCCAGCCTCCAGAGCGCCAAGCCTCTGGGTCTGGGACTCGAACCATGGCCAGCCATGTGGGAGTCCAGCGACAACCACTATGCCGTCTGCTGGTCCCAAGACCTGTTTTCTTAAGGAAAACACGGAGCATGGAGGGGCTCCACTTCGCAGAGGGAGGGGCCCCTCGGCTGTGTCTTTCAAGAGCAGACCTCGGGTGACAAATTAAGCACATGGCTGACACTGACACCCCCACCCCAACTCCGCCCCACCACGTCGATGCCATCCGGCTAGAGGCCTGGCCACAGAGGGCGGGCTGTGGGCACCCTCTGCAGTGTCAGAGGCATGTGCGCATGACGGCCGGGCCCAGCCACGTGGGCGGGCTGTGGTGCTGCTCTACGCCAGGAGCGCCTGTGGTCCCGGCGGGAGGCAAGGGGAGGGCTGTCACGGCAAGGCCCTGTGGGTGCCGGTCTCCCTCCTGGCTTGCTCTCTGTCTCTCTCTCTCTCCCAAAATACTGGGTCGTCAGGAAAGTCATGATACACTTTTGCATAGAAAGGCATAGTGAAACACATCATGGGGACCAGCAGATAGCGTAATGGCTATGTCACTGGACTCCCACATAGTCAAAGGCAGTTCCAGTCCCGGACCCAGCGGCTTAGAACTCATGCCGGGCACGTGTGCGTGCGTGCCCAAGATCCCAAGAGGAGAATGGAGGAGAAAGGACTGCAGCGTGGCCATCCCCCTTGGGGATGGTTTCTTGTTTTCTGTCCCTCTGTCTCTCGGGGGAGCTCACACATCCTATAGTGGAAATCTCTATGGAAAGAAAATGACTTTCGCAATGACCTCATATTAGTTAAAATGTCATACATTTAGAGAAAGTGAAGCTCTTCTGAGGTCATGACGGATGGTGGCCCAGGCCGGCTCCTCGCCCACCGCTCTCCCTCCCGTTTGTGCTGACCCGTCCGGGTTCCAGCCCTGACTGCTCGGTGTCGCCATCATCGTCGGTGGTGCTTCTCCTCAGCCGTGCCCGGCTCTGCTCGTCTATACCACCCCCGAGTTACCCTACGCAGAGCACACAGCCGACGAGAAGCCTCCAGGAGCATGTCAGACACTGATGGCAAATTCCGGCTGTCTGGGCATCTATACGAAATGCGGTTGTAGGAGTGTGTCCATGTGGGAGGTGGGCAGGAGCAGCTCCTCAGAATCCCTCTGGGATTTACGCCTCGCTGCTGCAGAGAGCCCGACCCACACTTCAGGGGACACCGCCGGGGACGGGGCAGGCCCCACAGCCTCGTAGTCCACTCACCCCACACCCACGAGCAGCGTTCTGGCCGTGTGCTTCAGTGATGACCGAGTAGGAGCCGAGTCACAGCCAGAGCGGCTGGCCTGTCCCCTTCCAGCCAGACCCATGTGGCTTGCTCCGCCCGCTGCAAGTGCTACGTGGCCCCCGTGGTTAGCAAGTACCCCGTTCATCCAGACGGACGGCAGCCCGCTCCTTCCTGCAAAGCCCACTGCTAGGACGCGTATCCTTCCCGAGTTGCTGTGAACAGCGAGACCAAGGCCGCCCTGTGTGCACGCTTTATTTCAGGGTGAAAGTCCTCTCGGACATTGAAGACGGATCTCGTTTCCTCCAGATGAAGAACGTGAACACGTGAACATCTCATGACAAGATGCTCAAGAATTACTCCTCTCCGATGTTCTGGGATTCTAATTTTAATATAAAATTAGTTGAATTCTGATTTGCCTTCGTATTTTCTAGGCGACCTGCAAAACAACAAGCAGGTGGACCACAGTCTTGCTCCGCTCTGGGATGGGATAGCAGGAGCCCTGGGCGAGGAACCTGCGGGCAGCGGATAGGACGACTGCCTTCCTCACTCGTAGAGTGGCCTGGGCACCTGCAGCGACCAGACCGGTCCTCCCAATGGTCCGAGGGCGGGGCTGTGGGGCTCGGGGGCCATCGGGGCATTAGGCTGAGCCCCCATGATGCTGCAGGGGCGAGCAGCACCCACAGCGGGTTGCACAGAGTAGGGGGCTTCACACTGCTAACGTCTGCCCCAGGCAGCTGCCTGCTGGGACTGGTGCCGTGACAGCGTGGGATCGGGTCCCATGACAGGCAGGAAGGATGCAGCCCTGCTGGGGCGCTGGGGCCCTGGGGCCGTTCCCCTCGGGAGCCTGTGGCTGATGACTAGGGCTGTTCTGACCACTTCTCCTTTGGGGAGAAAACCCTTTTCCTCAGCGACGTCTGAGCACCAGGGAGTCCTAAGGTTTCGCATCCCCCTAAAGGCGTGTGGGGCTTGTCCCCATGAGTGGGCCTCTGTCTTAGCAACGCTGCCATCGGGACTCACCTGCGCTGTGCTGTGGAGGGACCGCCGGCTTTCTGTCCAGGATGACGGTTCCAGCCTCGTCTCTGACCCTGACCCTGACGCTGCCGGTCGCACACCTGGTTTCCTGCAGGCCGCTGAAGTACACAGTCCTGGCGGTGCCGTCGGGGTACTCCCGCCGCTCGAACTGGGCCGTGTGGATCTCTCTCTGCCCGTTGCTGAACACGATGATTTTGTCACCATTCCTGGGAGAGGAGAGAACGAACCTAGGAGCCAGCCTGTGCTGTGGGCGAGGCTGCGGGTGTGGGGCCGGGGGGCCGAGGGCCGAGGGCCGCGACAGGTCTGCATCCCTCCTTCCAGACCCCGAAGGATGCGGGCTGCGTGCCAAGGCCAGGCAGGAGCCGCACCGGGGTGGCTGAGCAGAGGTCGGCAGAGAGGGTGGCTGAGAGCGGGGCTGCCCGCCAAGTCTGAGGCCTGTGCTGGTGGCGAGAGGGGACAGCGGGATTTACCCAGGGAGCAGCAGGAACGGTCCTATCACTCAAGAACGTCCCTGGGTGGTGGCAGGGTGGCCTGCTGTGACAGCCGCGAGGAAAGCTGGGGACAGTGGACAGGATGGTCGGCAGAGTAAGGCGCGAGGGGGCAGGGCTGGGGACGCTGGCCCCACGCGTGTCTGGCTGAGGTGCACGTCCCAACTCTCCCAGGTGACGGCCAGCCGGGGGCCCCACGTCTGTACCCCCCACACACGGGGCACCGGAGCCAGCCTCTCGGTGTGTCCAGCGCATTTGTTCCCACACATGCTCCAAGGCTTGGGCCCCACAACCCGGGTTCAGGGGGCTGGCCATGGAGACCAGCGTTATCCCTGCGGTCGTGGTCCTAGCCTGACTACCGGCCATGAGGCGGACCTAGGGATCGGGGTTTAAGCCCGCAGAGAGGTAGTGAGAAGAGCTTGCGGGTCAGCGGCATTGTCCACTGTTACGTTACATTTATACAAACACTTGCACTTCGGCAAAGTCTACATTAACCTGAACGAATTCCGGAACACGCAGACAGGACTCTGACCTCCTCACTCTCACGACTGTCCCATCAGGAAACAAGGTCTCCTCGTGCCCACTCTTGAGACGCTTCACTGTCCCATCTGCAAACACGATTTCTTTGGAGCCGTCAGGGTGCAGCTTTTCTGCAGGAAAAAAATTTACTTTTTAAAATTTTGCCACAGGGCGGATGTTCTTGCTGGAAAGAGCCAGAGAGGGGCCGTGAGAGGATGCCCCTCCCCAGGGGAACGGTCACACCACAATCCCTTCTCCATTTCTCCCTTGGGGATTCTAGGGGTACGTGCGCGCGTGCGCACATGCCCTGCATGTCTTCAAGCTGGGTCCGGGATTTGAACCCCACAGCTGGCCACGTGGGATCCAGCCACCTTACCCCTGCCTGGCCCTATATATATTTTTAAATGTGATTATATCGAGTCTATTTGGAAACCATGTCATAGCTAAATGAACTGTAAAATATCAGTGAGATTTATAGAAAAGGTATTTTCTTTTATATACACGTATGTAGTTGATTAATTTTTTCATGACTGACAGACAGAGACAGAAACTCTTCAATCAGCTCCTCACATAGCCCTGCACCCCGTCCCAGCCGCCGGATCGCGGGCACAAAGCACGCTCGCACTCAGGACTCCAGACTGCAAAGCCAGGACCTCTCCCAAGTGGCCCCGTGGCATTGCCACTGCTCCAGCACCCGGCCCAGAAAGAGCTTTTCTAGTCACACGGGTTTATATTGGGTTGCCAGGAGAGCCATGATGCACGTTTCATAGAAAACATAGAAGCGCATCATGGCTTTTCTGACCTCCCAGCAACTGGGGTCGCCAGAAATCATACGAAACGCTTAAATAATGGTCTCCATTTCGGAATTCAGGTACGTTTCTTAATGTAAGTTTGTCCCCAATACTGCATGGGACATATACATACGCAAAAAAAAGTATATTTTGTTTACCTGATAGTCAGATTTAAATGAGATCCCAGGTATTTACTGAATCTGCCAACGTTCCTTACTGGGTTGTCAGGAAAGTCTGTGGAAGGCTGCATATTGGATCCTGCACATGAACAACTGTTCGGCCATCCTGTTCCCTTCCCCTAACATGGCTGGCTGCTTCTGTAAACCCGCTGGCTCTGGCTCTCCCCGTGGGACAATAGTTCGTGGGAGCCGTACGCCATCCTGTACCTGCACTGTCTTTGCTAACTAGCCCGAAACCCTTCTGCTTAGCAATGGAACCGCTTGCATGGAAACCCCGCTCCCTTCAGAAATAATCAACCTGCTTGATTCCGCTTCTGTAACTGCTTGCACAGAACCCCCTGGTAACTGACCCCTGTAAAAAGACTGCTCCAGCCTCAGTCGGGCTGCAGTTCTGACTCTCCGCGCCCGCCTCCCCGCCCCCCTAGCCTCAGACTGTAGTCGCTGGCCAGCTAATGAAGACCCTTTAACCGTCATCTGCCTTTGGTGGTCCTTCATTCGGTGGCGCTCCACAACATTTGGAGGCCCCAGCGAGATCTGGGAACCTTAGAGTGGCCGAATAGCACCCCAACGAGGCGAGATCTGGGATCCTTAGAGTGGCCGAATAGCACCCCAACGAGGATGCTCCTTCCACCCTGTCCCAGGTCCCAAGGCGGGTAAGGAGGCCTCACAAACGTGGATCAGAAATTGGAGTCACTGGTGGGCCTGAAGCTGGTAAGATTCTAGTTATCTGGGTTTGAGAGCTCTCCTGGTGGGACTTTAGGAGGGCTGGACGCAGCGGAACCTCCAGGTCCCTGGGCCCGAGTGTGACAGCACTTCGGGTCCCTGGTGACAGTGATTTCTGGGTGCACTGTCTTGCTTTGTCTTGTCTTTATCACCCTGTCTTCATCAAAATGGACTCTCGACACCAGGCCGAGGGTTATGGTGTATCTGTGAATTGCCTTATTAGTGTCCAGGTAACCCCGGGAAAATTGGCTCTTAGAGTCCTGATGTGTGTGTGTGTGCATCCATACATGTAACATGTCATGTTACATACTATATGTTGTATGTCTGTGTGGAAAAGGCCTTAAAGAATTCTGTTTGATTCGGTTTATAAAAAGAGTGCTCATAAAACTTGGTTTAAATGCTTTTCAAGTTCATATAACGTTGGTAAACAATCTGGTTTCAAATGTAATGAAAGAAAAAGATGAACAAGTGAAAGTCTTCACAATTTCCAACACGTCTTCTGTCTGGGTTTTTATTAATCAGGCAGCCTCATGTTTATCTTAATGTGGTTGGTTTAATAAGACAGCTGGTATCTATGAGCTCTACGTTGCCGTTTCTGTTAGTCTCAGTGCTGACAGAGGATCTTTGACCTCAGACTAACTCTTGGATGTTTACAGAGGGCCCCTGAGACGTCCAAAAGGGAGATGCTAACCCGGTCAGGCTTATTCTTCACACGTTAGATAAAGACGGAAAACACTGTCAAATTAAGTCATTCGAATTTTTGTGACATTGTATTTAAGTTATATGTAAAAATATGTACTTGTATGTATATATATATATATATATGTGTGTATCGTGTTCCAAAATAATTTGAGATTCCCAGGAATTTATGATGGAATATTTATCAGTCATGTGGTAAGTTAGTATGTTAAACTGGTATCTAACCAAATTTCTTTGTCAGTTACGAATTTTTATCAGAGCATTAACTATGGCTGTAATCCTAATGTCTGTCCTTAAGGAAATTCACAGAGTGGAAAGAGAATGTGCTCTTACAGGTACCGGTTTCTAAATCGAATCATTTAACTGGGTGAAATGTTCATTTTCTATGTAAACTCATTGGTTTTCTAAACTGTTAAGCCAAAATTAACCGAAGAAAAGTAAAACAATGTTTGATAAAATTACATGTTAAGTAGCTAATACAATACGCCTGAGTTATAAAGGCAAAATTGATAGAAAGAAATCTAAATCTAATGTTAAACATGGGCTCATGGGAGCATTGCCGCCTGGTTCTCTGAGTCCTCCCTATAATTCTTGTTATTAAGTTAGCATGCTTTAGTTATTCCTATTGTTGGTCTTTACATTTTATAAAATTGGGAGGGTCTGTTAGTAAGGTTGTTCAGTTTTGCTTTGAAAAAGTTGTTGAAACAAGTTTTGTTGCTACTGTTGTTTGTTTGCACATGTTCATAAGCTACCAGTCAGTATATGGTAATTCTATTTTTACAAGCTTAGTAAGTCCTCCAGAAGACGTCAAACTTCCCAAGGTGGGGTAGAGGAGATGAAGAAGGACAATTAATAAAAACTGGGCCTATGTGTCAGAGACAAAAGCTAAGATCTCCTGTCTGAGCTGAATAGGAGTCTGGGTGGCAGTCTCAGGGAGCCCCCGCCGCCTCTGCCCCCCGGCCTGCTTGCACTCCTGCCTCTCTTTAGTCAGGCCCCTTCCCCACTGGACTCTCCCCCAGTTAAGTGATCAGAGGTCTACTAGAAGAATGAAAACTTCGCTAAGACTACACGCTCCAGCTCGGGTTCCTGTGCCGTCAGTAAGGAGAGGCCCTGCCACACTGTGAACCGGACCCCGCCCTCGGCAGCCGCAGACGCTCCTTGCAGCATCTACCGGAATTTAGTTTCCCTTCTCAGGGTAGGCGCGCTTACAATGCAGAACTATTTTTTTATTTTTTTAAGTTCTCAGATAACTCAAAAAATGTTATAACAAAATGGATCAACAGTCGTTCATGTGCAACATCTACTATGCGGTCTTCCACATTTTTGCGTAGAAAACCAGAAAAAATACATTATGACTTTTCCAATGCCCCAACATAATGAAGGTTCGAAAATGCGCACACGCCGTGAAAATCATCTAGCGAGGGACACCGCGTGAACGCGCGGGAGAGGCTGGCTGTCCCGCGCTGCGCCCGCCCTCACAGCCACGCGGCTGCCCGTCCGTGCCACCTGGTAACCCGGCCGTCCCAGGGAAGACCGCCATTGTCTGCGGTGCCCTGCCCTGCCGCGGCCTGAGTATTGCCTCCCCCAGATGCCCATGCCGAACCCGCCCCCTGAAATGGTGGTATTAGGAGGTGGCAGCTCTGAGCGGAGACCAGGTCAGGAGGTGGAGCCCTCAGAAAGGATCCCTCCTAACAGATCCCCTGGGAGGGCAGGTCTGGCTGGGGCCTGGGAAGCAGGTGCTCACCCGAGGGATGTTCGCCCCGGAACTGGGAGGGAGAGACCCCTGCTGTTTGCGAGAACCAGTTCATGGCATTCCTTACCGCAATCCACGCGGACAAAAGCCGCTCCTGGAGCTCACAGTCAGACTTTTCAGAAGTTTGTCTAGCCCTTCCACAACAGAGAGGAGATGGCTCAGGTGATATGGTGGTTAAGATGCTGGGTCCCACGTGGCGGGCCACAACTCAAGTCTCAGACCCAGTGGTTGAAAGCCACACTGTGTGCGTAACCGAAATCCCAAGAGGAGAACGGAGGAGAAGGGACTGAGGTGTGGCCATCCCCTCGGGGCTGATTTCTCACTTTTTGTTTCTCTGTCTCTCTGGAGAACACACAGGCCCTATGACAAAAACCTAAACAAAACAAAAGAAAGAAAAGAGAGAGAAAGAAAAGGAAAGAGAGAGAGACAATCATCCCAACAGGGTCCCCATGCCCCGACCACCCCAGTGTCAGCCGCACTGGCTCATGGACACACACCCAGCATTGCCAGGGCGGGCCTGGGATACAGCCCAGGTTCTTTCCCACGTGGACCCAAATGTGGTCCTGCTGCACCTGCACCCGGCCCCTCAGGTGCACCTCGGGTCCTGGTCTATCACTGCGTGTATTTCTGACCGTCTGCTCTGGGTGACCGAGCTTGAGCTCCTTAACGCACAAAGCATAAGGGCAGTGGGTGGTGCAGTGGCCGAGGCACTGGACTCCCACGTGGCTGACCATGCTTCGAGTCCCAGACCTGGAGGCTTGGAATTCATGCTGGGTGAGTGTATGCGTGTGCCCAAGATCCTGAGAGGACAGTGGGAGAGAAGGGACTGTGGCATGGCCTACCCCCGAGATGTAACTTCTCACTTTCTCTCTTTCTGTGTCTCCAGCAAGTGAACGTGTCCCATAGCAAAAATAATCTCTCTAAAGATGAAAATAAAAGCACCTTGTCCACACTTTGCTCAGTCTCTCTGACCGCAATTCCCTCTCCTTCCTTACGTTCTCCGGCTCTCCGGAGCCGCCTCCCGAGTCCAGGGTCCATTCGTCCCGCAGCAGGCGGCCTCTGGCCCTCGCTACTGTAAACACTCACTTCCGCTTTCCCAAATTGGTTGGCCATGTCAGGCTGGGTAATAAATCTTAGTAAAGGACCGTAACCCACCCTTGATAAGGGCTGGCAGCAGTGATTTCCAACCTTGCAGGAGAACGTGCGGGCCTGGCAGGACTGGTCACTGGTCACGCAGAAAGGCCGCCGCGCTGACGCCTGGCAGGAGCAGAGGCGTGGCGACAGTGTGTGCACAGGGGGAGCGCACACAGTCCGCGTGCGTTTGTGAAGGAGAGGCAAGCTCCGAGGTTAAGCACAACCGGGCGGCTTCTATTTGTTCTCCCGATACTCGCTTGACCCATTTTCATCTGTTTTGCCAGCTGCTGGTGGCTGCGGGCCGACGAGCAACACGCGATATATGCAGGAAAACAGGAGCAGTGAAGGGTCTGACAGCTGGGACATTCTACTTAAGATTATTTTTAGCACTAAAGCGCAAAAGACCGTTCTCAAGTGGTGTGCAGGAGGGACACTGCAGGCGCTGGGCTCTCCTTCGCTAAGTGGGTGGAGAACCCCTGATTTACTGACCACCTGGGGTGTGATCAGTGCACAGCCAGCCTTTGCCGATCTGCGAGCGTTGACAAACAGATGCGCGTAAACTCCTGAGCTGACCGGAGGGCAGGAGTGTGTGACCCCGGCGCTGTTGTCTGACTACCCTGGAAATGTCAGTCACAGGTAAAGCGTGGACAATGGCAGCCCCACCCCGGAGCAAGCGCAGAACTTAGAGTCCTGCTGGAAAACCACGCCACGTTAGCCTCCCACACAGGCCGGCTGCGATCAAGACACGTAAAAGGCCAGCTTTCAAAACAGAAATAAAATACAAGTCTAAGAAAGCTTCTCTTTTTAACAGACCCAGAATCGTGTTAGCCGAGCTCTCGATAGGGCCCTTGCGATCCAGCAGTGCCATCTGGCAGTGCAATTCTTCACTGCTGGGAGGTGCTGCAGGGCACCGAGGCGGAGGGCTCCCGGGCCCACGGCGGTGCTGGTCTTCCTAGTCAGAACCTACGCCACAGATCGGGAAGGCAGAACTGATGAGATGCACAACGGTACTGCCTGAAAGGCCGGAGTCACAGAAGTCGGGGACAGGGCCAAGACCCAGCAGGAAGACGGCCAGACTCGGCAGCGTCAGGGACCAGCTCGCGGGCCAGCGCGGCATCGCTGGGGAAAGCTGGGCGACGGCGCAATTCTGTTTTGTCGCTAATGTTTCAGAGGACATGGCACTACTGGAGAGAGACAGAGAGGAACGAGAGAGCACGCCCAGGGGCATCATGCCACGACCCCTGCTCCATTCCTCCATCTCTTTGGAAATTTGGGCACATACACTTGCCACAAGAATTTTTCAAGCCAGCAGGTCCAGGGCTCAAACCACACAGTCAGCCATGTGAGATCCAGCCACCTCAACCACCATACCACGGGCTGGCCCTTGGTTCTTTTTGGGTCAGATAGCCTACAGACACCACACTACAAAAGAAATAGTGAAAAAGAGGACACCCAGTTAAAGTTGGATTTCAGATATTACAAATCATTTTTTATGATATTAAAATCAGCGGTTGCTTACCTGAAATCCACATGAACTAGGTGTCCTGTACTCCTGTTTACTAACTCAGGCAACACCAACTTATGGCAACAGGACTGTGAGGCTCAGAGGCACAGCACACCTGCTGCAGCGAACAGAACCGAGCCCACAGCTAGACGTACTGTGATCGTGGGGACAGTCGCTTCCTAAAAGCAGCAAGAGGAAAAGACCCGTCACACTGCCGTCAGTGCTGCGGACTGGGAACGGAGTCTGCAGGAGTCTGCACGTGCGGAGAGGTACCGCCCTCCCCTCTGCTCCCAGCGCTCCTTGGGCTCTCCGACTAGAAGTGAAGGTTCTCACGGGGCCTGCACTTCCTGACTCTTCGCCTTCACTCCCGCCACAGGACAGACACAGCAGGCAATGGCCTCTTCTTGTTCTAGACAGTTCTTCCTTGATACCCACATGCTCTCTCCTCTCCCATCATTCACACCTCTCCTGAAAACAGACCGAGGCATCTGAGCCTGCAGGGGCCGGGTGAGGGTGGGACAGCGCGAGGGACGGGGGCCCCGCGGTGGAGATGCAGGAGGGGAAGCAGGTAAGAGCTGACTCCGCCAGCAGCCAGAGAGGACTGGAGGTCGGGAACAGGATCGGGTAATGGCCATGCGGCTCCCGACTCTGGTGAAGGAGCGCGAGGCCACAGCCCTAAGGAGCACAGCAGCCGAGCAGAGCAGACGGGTGGGGGACTCGGCAGGGTGGGCACGGGAGGCCTCCCTGTGCAGGTCTGTCTTCCCCTCCCTTGGAGCTGCACGGCGTCCACCAGGGCCGTTCAACCCCAGCACTGCCTAGGCCGCGGCGGGTGAGGGCCCGGCTGCCCACCCTCCCCACTACTCGCACCTGCACTCTGCGTCTGCACAGAGGGGCCTGTTCCGAGGACTTCACATGCGAACGACTGCGGAACAGCTGAGGTGGCCTCAGAGCTGAGGGTGACACACCCACAGAGGACCGCCCGTCTCCGAGTAGGTAGGCCAGGCTCTGGTGAGTTTCAGCTCTCTGTTCTGAAACCTGAGGGCGATACCCCGCCCCACGTTGCAAAGCACGGGGCCGCAGCAGTGACAGGGAGACGCGCTGTGTATGAAGGCGGGAGAGGGCCATGGCACACGGACACCATCATCTACGGCCGGCCCGGTCCCTGCGCCCACCTGGCGGCTTTCACAGCCACAGCCACTGCTGCGACTCCCAGGAGCGTGGGCGGCCACACCCTTCCTTAGGACATGAAGACGGGGTCTGGGGGACAGCTGGCTGTGGTAGCTGTGCTCGGAAGCCCTCCAGATGAGAGAGGAAACCACACACACACACACACACACGCATGCACGCACGACACCCAGGCTGAGATTTAGGGACAGAGAATACCGAGACTCCCAGAGGCCACGCCAAGGTCCACAGAAATTAGCCAACGAGAACTTCTCACAGCATCCTGGGGCTGGCAGCCTGGGGACTGCAGTTAGCAAGAACTCCTACTTAAAACACATGCCCTCCGCACAACGCGGCTGGAGAAGAGGCTGCTACACCTGCAGGCAGAGCCTTGGGGCAGGGATGCCACCGGAGCCACACCCAGGGCAGGAATAGCTGGGAGCCCAAGGGGGCTCAGGAGGAACTTGGGCCAGGATAAGTACGTCCCAAAGAGAGGGTGTTCTCGGCCCAACCAGCACCAAGACCCGTGTTTCGGAGGAGGGCAGGGACCTGGTGCAGACACAGTGCCTGCTAGCTGGGGCCCACCCGGTTTACGAGGGCAGCCCTCTAGCATTTTCTCCGGGGGCGGGATGGCTGGCGTGCCGGCAATGATAATGGTGATGGCACTGGGAGGTGACCACACGGAGCAGCCGCCCGCGGGCAGTCGCCAGCCAGCCTGCCCACTCGACTGAGGACGCTGGGGTCAGTAATGAGAAAGCCGGCTGGCAGAGTGAGGGGACAAGTCCAGCGACGATAAGGCACAACGCCGGGACACTCGAGTTTGCCCGGAGCCTGCGCTTGGGCTGAGGGGTGCTTTGAAGAGACAGTGGCTATGGGAACCAGCAGTTAGCATAATGGCTGTGTCGCTGGACTCCCACGTAGTCGACCGTGGTTCGCGTCCTGGACCCGGTGGCTTAAAACTCACACTGGGCGTGTGTGCGTGCGTGCCCAAGATCCCGAG